CTTCACAAAATTTAATAAAGTTTTTTTGTATGCTGATCGCTCCTTCAATACGATGCGGACTGTAGGCGTACGCCAGATAACATTAGGATGCTCATATAGCTGATACTCGTTAGCGCAAGGCTATCTGAGTATGAAAGATGCTTATACAAAAAACTTAGGTATGCCGCGTGAACAAACACTTTTAAGGTCAACAATAGCTGTTGAAATATCAGGAATGTACGGTGATCGCCGGTTCATAACATTCTATTGACTCATCAAGCTTAGGATAACCAGCAGTACACTTTTAATGCCCGCCACCGGAAGTTTTCTTGACTCTATCGGTGCCATAACCGGCATGATTATCACATTCATCGATGAAGAAAATTTTCATCTGCTATAGTGAGCAGATCTAAATTACGTGTTTTTACGCACTACCATTAATCCTAATCATGTTGGTTCGGAGAGCGGAGACCTTCAGTAGCAGATAGCTTCTAATATTTCACAGACTCACTGAAGACCAGAGGAAGCAGTAATGGTAAACTAGTTATCACTATCGTATGATTTCGTGAATCTGTCAGTCGTCTAACTAACGTCGTAGACAGTCTCTGGAAAAAGTTTTCACATGATGTATCGCCGCGTACTCAAATATATAGTTTTGTACATCATGATGAAATTTTGAAATGCTGGTCAGAGAGCAGGAACCTAGAGCGATGACCGCTTTGAAGCATTTGACAAGCTTATTGATGCTCAGAGTAATCAGTAATGCCCTTGCAACCATCATCACCGTAGGTTCCTGTGACAATATCGGTCATAAAACTGGCATCGCTATCATACTGATTTAGGAAAAAAGCTTTCATATACGATAATGCATCGCTGTAAATCATATACTTTTAAGGGTTACCATGTAGTCCTAGAATGCCCGTTACTAGAGCGGAGACCCACGGTGATAGATGGTTTCTAGCATTTTCAGATTTATGAAGCCTCAGGGTAACCAGCAGTGTCCATTTACTCACCATCACCGTAGATATTGGTCACCCTATCGATTCTATTATTAGCTTTGTAGTCATGCACATCTTGGAAAAATTTTTTATTATCGGTCTTGTCGTACACTCAGTTGTCTCTCTGTAAGTTCACCTATTCGGAATTTCGCCAACAGTGCACTCACTAGTGACGAATTTCCCTGCGACATTCGCCAATAGGTGAATCTCTGGTATGAAATTTATCAAAAAATATTTATTTTTGCCTTAGTATGTTTACCAATGGGCGACTGTCATGGAGAAATTTGCCAATTTGGCGAATTCCCAGTGTGAAATTCGCCAATAAACTTTTTTTCGTCATAATGTATTGATCAATTCGCGAGTCGCTAGTGTGTATTTCGCCAAATTTAATCCGTAGAATTATGGCCCAGCTAAATTGATGATAGAATATTTAAGTATTATAGGATGTGTATGGATCGTGGGTATGAGTATAGGTTAAGCGCATATACAACCCTCAGACTTGCACCCGCACCCATATCCACATCAAGTCAGCTACAACTAGACCATTTTTCGTTAGTATATTCGCGAATTAGCGAATTTCAGCCAGTTGGCGAAAAGGAAGATTGGCAATCATATAATTCCTCCAATCGACGTTACAGTTTTGACCGTCAACATAAATGCTAATAATGGAAATTAGAGAGTGGAAACCTATGAGTATGGCAGATTCAAAGAATTTTATTGACTAGTTCAGGCTCAACATAACAGACAATATTCGTCTAGCAGCCACCACTGTAGGTCTTCATTTTTATACCGACTACCTCGTTAGTAGAGCCCGTCGGGTCCAGAATTTTCGGACCCGGACCCGGACCCGGACCCTGGCCCAGGATTTTGGACCCGGACCCGGACCCGATCATTTAAAATTTTTTCTACCCGGATCCGGACCCGGACCCGTTTACAGGTTGCTGGACCCGGACCCGGACCCGGTCGCTTAAATTTTTTCGATCTAAACACAATGACAAGTCAGTTTAGATAGTATAGTCAAGAAGGGTTTTGTTGTTTTTTATCTATTTTCTAAATACATTTGATCTCTTCTTTGTATAAAACGAACAAAACTTTAAAAAAATTCAAAATAAATTGTATGGATCAAAGTTTTCTTCAGACCTGGACCCGGTTAAAGCAAAATTTTCAGACCCGGACCCGGACCCGGACCCGGTCAAAATAAAATTTTTGGACCCGGACCCGGCCAAAGTAAAATTTTTGGACCCGGACCCGGACCCGGACCCGTGCGGGTCCGGGTAGGGTCCGGGTCCGGGTCCTACCCGACGGGCTCTACTCGTTAGCCTGATAATTATATTCCTGCATAAGTGTCTCGAATGCGACTACACTCTCAAATCAAGAATACAGTTTCAATCATAGAGTTTAAGGCGAGCATGGCAGGTAAGAATATTAGGAGCTCACTGATATAGTCGATTTTGATCATTTTTCAGGCACCTACATGCTTGCATCAATCTTTGGTGCTGTTACATCAGAGATTGGCATAAGTTTTCATGGTTCCGCTGACCCTTTTCTTAATTGAATCACAGTCATCAAGTATGAAGGAAACGCTTTATGTGTTATAGTACCGTCTAGTAAGGAGTATAGCTTCGACTATCGCTATGAATGTTAGTGAGACAACGATGACGATAACCTTAGGTATGGTTACGGGTTCACTATGTAAACCATTGGTACGGTTATTGCTACAACTAAGAAAACCGTACCTACGATTTCAGAGTCAATTATGATAACCATAGGTACAATTATCAGTTCTAGAGGGCTTTCGTGAAATATAGTATTTTCTAACACACTAGCGAATTCCTATGAAAGTTGAAGAAAGATGACTATGATCAGAAAATCTGGATCTGAATTCAAATTTTAGAAATGGTTAATTTGACTTCGGACACTAAGGAAAGGCTTTTTAAGAAGATGCTGATATTTAATAAAGAGTAACGAAAGTGAATGGATTTCCAGAAGCTTGAATCTGATATCAATTTATCAAGGTTCTACGTTCTAATTATCAATAAAATGGTTCCTTGATGAATGCTATAGTTTTTTAAGAATTAGAGTCGAATGCGTCAAGTTGCATTTCCCTTCATCAACCTATCAAGGAAATAGTTATTTTCATAATAAACACTCACTTAATCTAAAAACTTCAGTTTGAAATATTCAAAGACTGACTTTGAGTACAGACTCTCCAGCGCCTGTTTACTTTGCTAACCTTTATAAAAACCGTACTCTCTTAAAAGTGTTGTTTTTCGTGGCACTCATTTTGATCTAATAACTGTGCCTAGGAGGATCGTAGTTAGACCGGTAGCTGTAAGTGCGGTTATCGCAATTGGACTATCAGTCGTACCTATGATACTCCTAGCTTGACAACTAACGGTAAAAACAGTTATTGTACTTGGATCGGTATCCGTAGGTATGCTTATCGTAGTTATACCGGTGACCATACGCATGTTTATATAATCTTGTTGATAACTATCAATGCGGCAATCATAATTGAAGTGGTAACCGTAGATGCATTTATCGTAGCTGCACCAATAGATTTACTTACAATAATCGTAGTTTGGCGAGTAACCATAACTTAGATGATAGTAATTAGATTGGTAAGCATAGCTATGGCTGTTGTAGTTAGATTGATAACTCTAGTATCCGTAATGATAGTTAGATCCGTAACCGTATATAAAGTGATCTTAGATGCACCAGTAACCATTAGTACGATTAGCGCAATTGCATCGAAAAACCTATGTACAATGATTGCAACTGTAGCAGCAACCATGGGTATAGTTATCGGTTTTCACCAGTGAAATGACCTACACCGTTGTATTTCTAGTCAATATCAATACTGTCCATATAGAACTACGAAAATTTGCGATGATAACCGGTTTCCGCTATTACTCAGACAACAGAAGACTGAATGCTTCCAGTAGTACTAATATGCCAGTCTCCATTATGGCCTTCTACTACCTTATCAGCTCGATTCTCTGTTTAACGCCAAAGTTCTGATCAATATTCCCCAAAATTAATTAGGACGAGGGATCACTTCTTCTAAGAAAATTAAGTACTCGAGTTACTGAGATGTACCGTATAGGAGAGACACCGAAATACAGAAAAGTGACCGGTGCACCGGTCTCACCGGCCCACCGTACCCCGGTGCACCGTCCACCGGTCTCACCGGTCCATCGGTTCACCGTTCACCGGTCTCACCGGTCCACCGGTTCACCGTTCACCGGTTTCACCGGTCCACCGGTTCACCGTACCGACCGGTGAACCGGTGGACGGTGAATCGATCGACCGGTGAGACCGGTGAACGGTGAATCGTCACCGGTGCATCCCTAATAGTAATAATTGACCTTTACGAACATCTTCAGTAAGAACTAAACCACGACCTCTGTCTGTTGAAATCTAGAAAAAGAGATAGAGCAGAGAGAAACCTCAAAAAATGGTGTGTCATTTCCGATGACTTCTTTCGGTGGAGACGTATGTCAGATACTATCCATGCATCGGTACTTCTTCGAAACTACGTGATGTGTTTAAGGTCATCATTTCAACATACGATTTTTGATCGATATGACTTATAACTGATCCAGAGAAAAGGACAATTTGAGCACTAAGGAAAATATCGACAGTGAGATTTTCGAAACTATCTAGAGGGATGTTTACACTATTCAATGACCTGTTAATTAGCAAAAAAAACTTGGTTCTAGTACACAGAAAAAGATTTTCAGCTGATTTTTACAAAAAATTACAGAGGTGAAACTTTAAAAACATGAATTTTCCTACAAAAGTCAACAGAAGATTTTTCTGTCTGCTTTTTATTGGACAAAAAATCGAGTCGCAAAATGACGTGAAACTTCTGCGCTATGCGCAAAAATGATTTAGTTTTTATAATGGAGAACTGATTTGTGATTAAAAATCATACGAAATTCATCAAGTACAGTATTTTTGCTCAACTCTCCTTCCGAAATTAATGAGAAAATCAAGAGATCTATAATGAAAATAAAACTGTTATATATAACTCACCTCAGTAATTTGAACTGGTCCAACATAAGACGTATTATCCAGACGAGGAGTTGACGATTTTTTGGCTTCTTCAATCATTTGATTAAAATTGTAACGACCTTTTCCTTTTTTCTCAATTCTCGTCACAATTGAAGTTAATTCTCGTTGACCATCGACGTTCTTAAGATCTATTTTTAATAACTTCTTTACTTGTACTAAGGCTTCATCGTAATTCTCTAAACCATAGAACGCTTTGGCACATCGGTACAAAGCTTTAATGTTATTCGGATCATTTTTTAAAATATTTTGACAGTCACTTAGAGCACCTTCGAAATGATGAACTTTTAGGTGAGCTTGTGAACGGTTCAGTTTAAGAAGAGAGATTTCTGGATCAGAAATTTCAGATGATGAAATACCCTAAAAAAAAGAACAATGAAAAGTTCGTTAAACCTCATATACAAGGTGACAAGGGGCTCAAGAAAAAATTGAAGCAAGGTTTCATTGAACAGTGAAACCTTTCAAGTCTGACATCGTATCACTGCAATATTTAATAATTTGAGTGCGACTTTTCGAGCTTTATCACATTCGACCAGTCTTTTAAAGTGAATATGACAGGAATCTCCAACCTTCCTCTTAAATATTCTGTCCTACAGCTCGTTACAGTGCAGTTCAGCAAATTCGTGCATCCTTCAAAAGAACCTCATTTGTCTATAGCCTTTGGTGTCTATCTAGATTTCTTTTTAAAGCAGGAGTTTTTTTTATAGCGAAAAGAATACTTCGAAACTTGTTCCAATCTTCCTCAACAAGTGTGTTTCTCACCTTGAATCTAGACCCTCAAAAAAGGACAAATTCTAGGCCTGAACCACGGTTAGAATAGTCCGTTCAGAAAAAGGTGAAATTTTCACTTTTCCATAGCAGAACCGTCAATTTTTGAGATTTCAGGTGAAGTTTCCATTTTGTTGTTTCTCACTGAAGGAAAAAATCGAATAAAAAGCTTTCACCGCGTTTGATAATTAGATTACGATTTCCGGTGCGGAAAAGAACAACCTGTTAGTTCATTTTAGAGATGAAATTATCAAAAAACACAGCGCAGAACTGCCAGTTTTTCGTCAGTTTAAAATCGACCATGAGCTGCCTAATTCGAGGTATAATATAAATGAAGTGTCAACTGTCTAATATCACTTCGAAAATAAATGAAAAAATCAAGCAGGCACTTGCTTACAGCAGAAAAAAAAGTTTTTTAAATTATAAATTATAAATGAGATAGGACTTTCCTATAACTACGGTAGAAAAGGAAAAAAAATTATCAATTATAAACTATAATTGAAATAGAACAGTTCTATAACTGCGGCAGAAAGGCAGAAAAAAAATTACAAATAATAATTTATTATTTTGATAGGAATTTTACTTTAATAACTAATACGTGCAGCCTCGCAGTGAAGTCTTGAACAAATCATAGCTCACGTGGAATATGGATTGGTATAGACGCGCCGTTACCAGGTCACTGACCTGTGATATCAGGCCCATAGCACGAGGATGCTATGCGCTCGCCGAAGAGCTAGGAGCGGTGCTCATCTCTATGGCCGCAATGATGGCAATATTTCTCTAGTTCTGATTACGCTAAAATGAAAGGTTATGAAATTGAATATGTGAATTGTTGTTGTTCAGTAAGTGAATATGTATAAATAGACCATTAGATGCCTAATTCGAGTTCGTATATAAATGGAGAGCTAAGTGCTTATAATTACTTCCAAAATAAATGAAAACAACGGTATCCATGTTGAAGCAGCAAAAAAGCAAAAGATAAATTTTATCGTAATTATAAAGTTATACTTCGAATTGACGCACCCATATAAGTCTGCCAAAAAAGCAAAAGATAAAATTTTATATAAATTATAATTTATAAATTCGAGGACATATGCATGTGGAAATAGCAAAGAAGCACACTATAGCAGTTTTTCTAACTGCTAATGCTCAATCTCATGCACATTATTCTCATCTGAGATGCTAGCAGCATCATCTGGAATCCTACAAGCATCGTCTGGGCTGATACAAACATTGTCTGGGATGCTAGATGCAAAATCTGGAATGCTAGAATCATGGTCTAAGTGGCTGGAATCATCATCTGGGATGGTACAAGCATCATTTGGAATACCAGAAGCGTGATCTGAGACGCCAGAAGCGTGATCTAGGATGCTAGAAGCATCATCTTAGGTAACTCAGCCACCCTTTCGAATTCATCAGGTAGTATTTTCCTGTAGTTCTCCGAAGCATACACTAGGAATATATGTGACCATGAAATACAATGCTAGCCTAAGAACAAGACGCTACCATGTACTCACTCTGATTAGAATAATGGTAGGTCTAATCGTAGTGCGACGCACGTAATACTCATCTGCCTCAAAAGACTTTTCCCCGCGTAACTGACCTTTTATTTCAGCGTTGCGGCGTGGGAGCACGAAGCGCCCCCCGCAGAGCCGCGACCCATGCTTGTCTCTGTGTACACAGTGATGAACAAAGTAAAAACGGAAATGATATTAATGCTTTATATAAAATTTGCGGTATTGCGTTTTTCATAGCTAAGCATGCCTGTGGCTTTCAATTATTAAATTTGAATTAAATGTAATTCAATCTTTTTCTTTTTGCTATTTCACACGGGTGTGGCTTGGTGTGTATCATATACGTTAAAATTGAAACTTTAATTCAATTGAAATTTCAAGTATCAAGCTTCAACCAGAAACGGATACATCCTGCATCTCTGTCGGTGTGGGTGCCACTAAGAACTTTCGCCGCATGTCTGTCGATGCCGTACATGTCAAATCTAAAAGTTGAATTCAACTATTCAATAATTCTGTCAATATTCACTGGGGGTAAGCGCTTTCCCCCACTTCACCCACCTTTCATTTCAGCGTCGCGGTGTGGAGGCGCGAAGCCCTCTCCCCCCTCCCCCGAATAGCCGCGACCCATACTCGTCTCTGTGTACACAGTAATTCGTGTGTGATGTTTGGGTCACGCTAGCCACATCTCTGCAGAAGCTTTCTGACTATGAAACCCGTTCGCTAACAGAAGCTACCTTTCAGCTATCATTAAAGCATCTCATGCCCTTCTCCTCGCGTTCAGCAAATGTCGGTAGCATACCAGGTAAGACGTGAAGAACTCCACGTAGTACCTGCGGCGTTCCAGGTAACATATATACCGACGCAGATGGTACTTGTAGCATCTCAGGCAATATCTGTAGAATTCTAGGTAACATTTGGAGCATACCTGGTAACACCTGCAGCATCCGAGGTACTATATGAAGTAACCCAGCAATAGCTGTAGTGTCCCAGAGAATAGTTGAAGCAACCCTCAGAGTATATGTAGCATTCCAGATGGATCCTGTAGCATTTCAGGTAGTATTCGTAGCACTCCACATAATACCTGCAACATTCCGAGGGTATCGGTTGAACTCCATATAGCCTCTCTTGCATCACAAGGCATAATTTTCGCATTTCAGGTGAATTCTGTACCATCCTATGTAACACCTGTTGCAACATAGGTGACAACAGTAGGATCACAGGTGAAATCTCTAGCATTCATAGGGATACTTCAAGCATTCCAGGTAATATGTGCCAGATTCGAGATCATACCTTTAGCATGACAGCTAACATCTGTACCATTCCTGGAAATATTTGCGGCGTTCCAGATAATAATTTTACTATCTCAGAAAGAGTCCCTGCAATCGAGGAAGCCTTTAATGTTGACAGTTTAAAGTTCAACTTTGAAACTTGAAAATTGAAACTTGAGACCTCAACCGAGTTCAAGTTTAGAGCTTTACACTAGAAAAATTTATTATTTCGAATTACATATAATTTTATCTTTTGCTTTTTTGCCATTTGAACATGGGTGCGACTTTTTTAATTTTCCATTTATATTCGAACTTGAATTAGGCAGCTACTGGTCCTGTTTCAATAATAAATTATAATTTATAATTTTTTTTCTGCTTTTCTGCCACAGTTATAGGAAAGTCCTATCTCATTTATAATTTGTAATTTATAATTACTTTTGGTGGGTTTGTGTCGCATTTATACGTAAGTCGTGTCTGGACTGTAATTAATAGTGAGAAGATTTTTTTTGTGCCTTGATTGAACGTGACATATTTTTGAAATTTTCATTTATATTATAACTCGTATTAGGCAGCTACTCCTTAATTGTGAAAGTGGACGGAAAGTGCAAATCACTGATATCTTAAGAATTTTCTTCGAGCTCAGACTTTTCATTGAATTTTCAAAAACAGAAAGTCTCTTATCTAACTGATAGAAAATGTCGAGACTTACATCTGAGTAAGCTTTAATAGCTTCATAGAATTTGCGTTTTTTAAAATAATCATTTCCAAGTGTCTTGTACTCAGCAGCTGTTAGGATTTTGTGAATTCTTGGTGTTCCAGTTTTCCAAGTGAGATCTTGTACCATTGAATTATTTGCATCCAAAAAGATTAAATCAGTTGGGTGATCACATCTTAAAGAAGTTCCTCCTTGAGCAGATATTTTATAGTACGGTTCTTTCAGTATCATAATACTGTCATTTGGAATTATATCTTTATGAGATCGATTAGGATTTTGATTGTATAATTCTAACACTTCAACATCACCGTTAGGATCTTTAACAACAGTTTTAATTTCCACAATCTTTTTTGGATGAACAATTGTTCTGAGAAGAAGATATTTTCCACGATGAACCGTTTCCAGTACTAAATCGGTTAATGATATTCGTTGTAGGTAGGAAAGGGGTTGTGTGCATGGTGAATAAACAAAACTTGTAATCCTTTCATGAGCAACAAGTGGCTGACAATCATTTTCATATGAATATTGCCGATCATGTATTTGAATTAATTGAGATCGAGGTATTCGATGAGTTGGCTTTTTTCCTTGCATACTTTTGGATGTTTCCGAATTTATCATCGCTCGAATAAGGAATTCAGCAGTATTTTCCATTTTAGAGTGCAATAAGTCTAGAAAAAAGGTCAGACAAAATTTTTAACAAGTACCATTCATGAAAAATATAAAAACTAGTAATATGACACTAGCAGCCTATGGTGAGATGCAGAGAGTGGGTTCTTGCATTTGCCTTGAAATGAGTTCAACTAAATCGGACGGAATATTCAGATGCCGATTCGAATCAGTAAAATATTTAAAGTCGATTCGGCGATCTTACACTTTTCCGAAATTCTAATTACTGAAAATCAGTTGTATTCATCAGTTTAAACTATTTTTGCGCATACAGTTCTGCCATACTTCATTTTGGATCAGCATAATCGAGAAATGAAAGGAACTTTTTTCCACGTAGAAAAGAGTTTCAGAAAAACCTAGTTTAAGAATATTGTTGTTTATTCATTTCTTCAAACTAGATATTTTTTCACGTATTTTTTACCTGTTTCGAACGATTAAAACAATCGGCACTATCTAAAGAATCGTCAGGTCTGAACTGGTGTCAAAACTATGAAATCGATTTCAAACCATGTCATGAAAAAAGGAGGCGGAGTGAAGTATGTACGTGCACTCGAAAGATCTATAAAGCAAAAATAGTCGTCAGAATTATTTGTCAGAGCTACAATGAGTTAAGAAATTTAATAACACGCGCAAATAGGACAGCTAGTCAGTTTCATTCGAAAATATACTGTCTTAGTAACAAGCCTCCTTTTTTTGTCCTTATAAGAAAGTTCCTCTAGGTTTTTCCTCTGTTCTCTTGCAATCGTGTTTAAAGTTTACCTAATATATTTTTTTATAACTTAGAAAAAGAGCTTATATGGTCACTTTACTTTCAATCATTATTCTAAGGTAAAATTAGCAAGAGTTCGCAGATACATTGGAGTTTGAATCTAATTTAGAATATCTCTTTCAACTGAACTTTCGTCTGGTCTCTAGCAGTCTGCATTCTCAATTGGTTTAATTCCTTCTTTTCTTTTTGTCTTTGTCTTCTATTTTTCCCCAGTATTGATTCTGCGCGTTATTATTCATAAATCTGACGCGATATAGTCATGTTGTCGTATTTGTTGTGAAACTTGTTACTTAACGCATAGAATATTCTTTTGCGTTCTACTGCAACTCATTTTTCCGATGCCTTTCAACCTTATGAATTTTTAAATTGAATTTAGATAAGTGGATACGAATCTCTTGAAAGTACAGAAAGACAAACTTTTTGTTGATAAGCGAGAAGAAATGCAAAGAAGAATCGCAAAAGTTTCTCTGAGGTGTTCGCCATCACTGTTTTTTTTTCAGTTAGAACTTGGAATATTCCGATCTTTTTTCTTTCTGTTCTTCAGGACATGAGCTTTTTATAGAACTATAATAAATGTGTGCTGTTCTTACCATCAAGAAGAATTGAGCTTTGTGCAAGAATGACGAACTACTGCAAGTCAAAATCTTTCACTGATTTTAGCACCATCTGTTTCTTAATCAATTTGCTTTCCATCATCTGAATATAAAAATAATATTTGCAAGATAAGTGAAACTGTCAGTGTCGCATCACAGACAAGAATACGTGAAAATAATTTTAGACTTATCTAGCAAAATTACTGTTTCTGCTATTGATTAAATCTTACCATAAATTCTAACCCTTGTCGTGTTGTTAATTTTCTACGAATTGATACGGCTGCTTGTGCAAAAGAGCGAATTGAGGTTAAGATCTGGGTGTGGGGTTTGAGTGTGAGTGGGGTGTGGGTACGGGTATGGGTGTGGATTCTAGATGCAGTCTCACATTCACACTCACCACACCCACACCCACATGATCGATGTGAGGCTATCACAACGAAAAGCTAGTACGACGAATTTAGGTGAGGTTGAAATTCTTAGCCGAAAGTCTCTGGAGGGTAAGGTCTGCCTGTTGATGCTGGTGAATATGTACCCAAACGCCCCCCCCCCCCCCCCACGTAAATCCCGCCATCTCATATCTTCTTATTAAGAGTTGGAACCTCACCTAAATCCGTTATGGTAGCTTCACATCGATACCCACATCCACACTCATACCCTAATCATGTTTCAGAAGAATCGACTTTTAGAAGAAACTCGACGCACATGGATTACGAAGCAACAAATAATCAGATTAAGTAATATAAGAAGAAAAACAACAGCTTTCATTGGAGTATCAAATGACAAAGCAAAAATGAAAGCGATCGTGAATTATCAAGATACATCAGCGCTTTCGATCGGAGAATGAAGACAAAGTGCGCACAATAATCTTTACCATTTGCTATTGCCCTAGTTCTTCACTATTGCACAAAAGCTGAAAAAGAAATATAAAGACAAATATCAACCAACTTAAGCCTTTCGTACACACTAATTTTCATCAGCTGCGTAACACCATTACTGTCTTATGTTTTCATAAGTGCATCATCATGTGACGACTTACTGTGCACCAGATATTACAGTTGTCACTTTGCATTATAGTATCCGTATTCGACTATTGTATGGACAACTAGACTTTGACATGGAGCTACTATCAAGGTTTGCTCGATCATTTCTAGGAAGCAGCATGTTACCATTTTCAAGTGAAAATGTATTACAGAGCCCTTACAAGGAAGTTACTCGTGATACTGCAATATCAATATAGTATTGTTGCGTGTAATTAAATCTTTTTTTTTTTCGAAGACATAGCTAGAATAGAATAATCATAACACTATCGAAGTTAGCATTCGACACAGGCTTTTGCTTTTATAAATAATAAATACCGTACATACCACCCAAGTTTCTGATTCTTAGTGTTTTGGCACACATTTTTTATCCCTTATCGAGTCTATGGGCTTTTTTATTTCAAACTGAATTCCAAAATCAAAAAAACCACACCAATTTCTTCCGAATCAAACTTTTCTCGCTTGATACTACGTAGTCTCACTAAAAACCCTTAGTCCCCCCTAGTCCTGCAAAGTCCCCCTTAGCCCCCCCCACAAAAAGCTTAGTCCCCGCTTAGTCCCTTGTGCAGGGGACTAAAGCCTATAGTACACAAAACCACAAGCACACCCTCACCCTCACTCGCGCGCCAACACCCGCACCATGGGTGTGGGTGTGTGTGTGGGTCCCAGACCAACACCCACACCCTCAGTCACCCCCCTCCCTCACTCCTAGACTCACGTTTCAGTTTGAAATCAAGTATTATTTTTATTTGATAAATTCAGACTGAAATTAAATAGCCCATAGTATGCCCTTGTCACAGAGAAAATACCTCAAAACGTTTTCGGCAAAATCACCCTGTTTAGATGAACTTTCTGATGTTATAGTCGCTGCTACATTCAGCATAGGAGGAAAAAGTATCGAGTCGCACAGAAGAAGATAATGCAAACATAATCAAGTGCTCAAATCTGCTGTCCCGTGTGTGCATTGAGTTGCGCCAGAAAAAGAACAGACAGTGTTTATACTACATTGTCACAACGCAATGATCATCCTTTTTAATAGATTCATAGAAAAACAAATCCCAGAACCGGAAATCACAAAAAAAAGTATTCCTATTCAATCTAATGAAAATGATGCCTGTAGCCAATATTTTGATAGTCTTGGCTTTTTCAATATTTATTCTCATCGAAACTGGTTGGTTCATTTCTATTGTACTCGGTCTGTCCTCGTTTTATTCACACATATCATATTTTTGTAGTTTTATGTGATGGCCTTTTCTACATGCAACGAATTCCATCGTCTTGTATGGAAACTACCTTGAATTTCAGCACATATGGCAATGTTTCAAATAATTGCTTAACCTTTGATTGGAGTCAAATTTCGAATTTGACTGCAACTTATACCACTTACATTGATTCTAATACAAATCAAACATATTTTGCACAGATCGGTGCCTTAACTGTTTTGGGCAATATCGATAATTATAGATTGAATTATGAATGTCCACCAGTTGAATACAATGGTGTTGGTCCCGGTTGTCAAACTCAACCAAATACTCAACTGGTTGTATTACATGTTAATGCTTTAGATCGTAAACTATATGCCATAGATATTATTCTGTCTGGTACTCCTTTTCCTGAACCAGGAACTTTGAAGGATAATCAACCACCTTTTGGTAAAGCTCGTCATCAGTTCACTACAGGAATACCACTACAATCTAATGGTTATTTTAAAGTCTGCAAAGATAAGAATAGTAATCAATGTCCAAATAAGAATCTCGATGCTCACAAATTACCGAATCCATTACCAAGTAATTATGGATATGGTATCTTTGGTATTCAAGCATTCGACCTTGTTACTAATTCGACATGGATAATGGATGATTCGAATCAATTACTTATTGTTACAGCAGGTACTAATTATTATTATTTCAATGCAACTGGATTCTTCTTCTATGATTCGACTGAAAAAACATGTACATGGTCAAACTCTTGTAATTATGTGTGCGAAGTGTATAATTACAATTCTCGATTCTTAGATTTTGGTGGTGAATGGATAATCACAAAGAAATGGGGCATTCAAAACATGCAGCCACGAACCGTAGAAACTTGGATTGGACATGCTATTGATGCTGCTGGCATCTTTCCCATTATCATGTATACTGATAAGAAAACTGGTCATTACTTAGGATTAGACAAACTTGATCCAGAGCCAATGCAGAAAATGGGCGCCACATATTGGTATACTGATCATGGTGACACAATGGCAAGAACTAGCATTGAATCCTTTCATCCGACTGTTGTAGAAGCTGAATGTATTAAAGCTATAACTGAATGGATGGGTGATAAGATAAACGCTGGTATTGGTTTACGATTTGACTATGTCTGAATCATGGCCGCCATTATTGCTTTTAAATATCTTTCAAATATGGCTGAAATGCTTTTATAAATATTTAAAATCATACCGATGAGAAATAAGATTTTTGAATACTTTTTCTTATTCATTATCATATACTTTAAAAATGACTTCTTTTAACACTTTACTAATCCTCAAACAGTATTCACAAAAGAAAAGATTCTGAACTCTTCAACTTGTGATATAAATAGATAGAGTCTGAGGTTGCATTCTATCAGGACTGCTGAAAGATCATGGAAAAATTATTTTCAAATGTCTGTGACAGTCTACAAGTGGGATTAATATAATGAAACATGCGAGACAAACATAGATTATTATGTCTACGAAATTTCAAACCGAAACAATGCTTGAAAATCCATAAGTTCGAGGCCCACATATGAATAATATTATGGTTCAAGAATCACAAAATTAATTACCCTGAAAACTGTTGTGACGTGTTGTCTTATCTGACACGGTTTGTGAGAGTAGTGGCGTAGCCAGAAAAATATCGTAAGGGGGGAAGGGAGGGAAGAGCTCAGCCCCCGACTTGTTTGTAGTTAAATATAAGTAACTTAAGTACTCGAACAACACAATGAAAACAATAAAGAAGTCGAAATGTTCAATATTTTATTAGAAATAAAAGAAAACACCAAAACGTACCTAATTAACGACGTATAATTCTTCTATTTTTATAAGTAATAAAAAATTGATCAATAACTTGTTCTAAATCCACTGAAAAATCACGCTCAATGGATAACATAAAAATATCACTTAAACGTTCGTCTGCAATAGTATTTCTTGTATGTGTTTTGACTAGACTCATTTTTGAAAATACACGCCCACCCGACGACCATGGCACTGGGATTGTAAGTGCAGCATTTATTATTAACACGATATTGGAAAATGGTTTTTCTAATGGCTTTATTTCATGCTATAATTCAGTTATATTTGATAATTTTCTGCTTCTGTGTGCTCAAAAGGTGAGTACACTATAGAAACCGTCAGTGTGTCCGTCCGGTCGCCCTTATACATGATAACTCTTGAGAATATGAAGCGATTGTTATGAAACTTTTGTGACAGAATCGTCTCATCGATATCTCGGTCGAGTTCGAACATGAGAATGATTCGTCAAGAAATTATTGAGTTATCGCAAAAAATGTCATTATTTTTTGTGTCTTTCTATGCGAGCAGGATGTGGGTGTGGGTGGGTATGGGTTTGAGTGTAGGTGTGGGTGTGGGTGTGGGTGTCAGCTTCTCTTATAGCCACACCCCTATCCAAATCCACACCCACACCCATTTTTATTTTCTT